CGATTGATGCATTCATCACGACCGTTGTTGATCGGACTAAGTTCAACATGTGATGCCATAAATTGATTCATAAACCATACCTTTTTCAATTTAAGATGTCCGAGTGTCAATCTAAGATGTCATGTTGCTATGTGGATAGTCCGATTACGCCATCGTTTCACATTGTCTTGTACTTTTTGCGATGATCTTGTTGTCATATGCAGTCCATCCGTGTGGTGAATGCACACCGCTGTACAGCCGAAGTTCACTGGGTCTGCTAAAGACTCGCGGTTGTAGACAAGGTGTGGCTTCTCGCTAGGGTTAGCTGGGCAAGGGCCAGGTCTCTTGTTGCGGTAACCTATCCGACCGATCGGTCGTGTGATTTTCGGTCCGGCACAGGAGGAAGATGAGTTCTGAATCGGATGCTGCTTAAGTATTGGTAGATAATCACCACAGCAGAATCAATTGTGGAACAACGCACCATGTGGGAGATTCGGAATGAAAAAGTTCAAGCGATGATGACACTGAGTCAACGTTTGACTCGTCCAAGATACAGACAATATTTTTTTAAGCGGGTTCTCGCGCAAATTTTCCGGCAGACATGAGACGGGAGTTTACCTGGAAGAAATTCACTCCTGTTCAGTCAACCGAAGGCCATAGATGCCAGCCTACAGGAATTACGGCAACACTCAAGCAAGTAACGATTCATAAACTAAAAGTGCATCTCACAAACCGGCCTCAGACCCGGGTTACGATGACCTTTGGCGAATGACCTGTCTAATTTCATCGGTGCTCTAGGACAAGTGAGAGTATCGTTCATTCATTCACACTGGCGCGTCCGCGCGACGGTGATTATCGATCACTCGGATCTGACATCTCACTCCACTCACCCGCTTAAGAAAATTTAAAATAACCCACTTCTACATCATCAAACCCCAAAAAGACAGTCACCAATAGACATAATGAGCAAAGTTCTCGATCAAATCGCATTTATCCCCTGGTGGCTGCATCGCCGGGTGAATCGATGTGGATTTGAACCCAGTTTCCATGAAAGCGTTGATCAGAACTTGCGGATGCAGACTCCCAAGCTTTCTTGACCAGATGCATAGCCATGAGAATGTCCACCTCGGCTTTCATGATAAGTTGCTCATCTTCGATCACAGACAAAACGTATTCCAGTAAATGTTTCCGAAATGAACATTTCAAAGACCAAACATGCCCTGATCCATTGGGTGTAACATTGGAGAATACTGCGGTTTGGTTATGGTAAAGGGTGTTGTCCATAAATAGTAAAATAGAGGGCCTTTGAGAAACCATTTTGCGGTTGACATCGGACAGCCAACTGTGAAATAACGCAGAATTCATCCATGCGCTCTTCGAAGAATTATAACTGCATGGAAGGCTTTTTCTGTCTATATCTCAGAGGCATCGTGGAGTCTGAAACTTTCCAATCATCAACGGTGATAAATTTTCTCCAGTCATATTCTCACAAAACAGTAACGTGCCCCTCTCTTTGGATTTCTTGCATCCAGAAACTGTCTTTCCTTTCAGACTTATTGTTCTTTCTGGGAGCTGCCTGTAATACAAAGCTGTTTCATCCGCATTGAATATATCACAGTCAGCATATCCATGTATCAACTGTGGTTACTCCGCTCAAAACTCGTCCACTGCATCACATTGTACCGCTAAACTTTCTACACAGACCTATAAAGAAATGCACATGAGTTGCTTGTTTCTCACTTTGTACGATTGAATACCATATCTGTCTGACCAACAGCGAAACCAACCTTTGAAAGCCTTGAAGTCGTTATGATCTTTGTGCTAGCTGGATTGCCTTCTTACGTACGATGCTCTCAATCATTGGGAACTCTCCGTGCTTTTCCCTCATAGCAGTAAACCAAGCCAAAGTTGCCTCATTCACTGTCTTGAACTTTTCGTTGGTTTTCAGATGGCATCTTCTCTCAGGTGCTCCAGCGTTCAAACATTCTCCGATAGTCATTCCATTTGATACAACATTGTTGACAGCTCTTTTTGAATTCCAAGTGCTTTGGCTACGGAGCTGAGTTGCGCCTGGTTGTTTCAGCATTTCCAACACATTCTGCTTCTCTCTGATCGATGGGTGATTGCACATTTTGACGTCAAATGACACTGTCTCCTATCCCTTACATTGATGTGACCTCGCGAGGATTATCCAATCAGTTAACAGTGCCACGAACGCGTCACACTAGCTGCAACGTCATTGGTTGACTGCGACATTTCAGGGTGAATGATCAATGGTCATCCCAAACATCGCTCAACGACCAAGTGAGTACGTATCAGGAACTGCGACATATTGATGGGGTGCGGTATCGCATAGTCAGAAACCACGTTATTAAGCATACAGTTGGTTTGGGTTTTCGAAAAAGTGGAAAGATATTAGAAAATGCGACTTCTGAGGGGTGCGGTAGCAGGAGATTGACTGTAGTATATAGCACATATGCATATATATTTTGTTATGATCAAAGTGGCAGATATTAACATTATTATCTAGAAATGATGATATTAATGAGGTCGAAGTGTCGCATTTGGATGTTATCACTTTGTAAATCCCATTGAGAACAAACACCGCACCAGTGTGAGGGTGATCGGTCAGAATCAATGCAGCATAATCTCGCACCACTACTCATGAGTAGTTGTGAGCTAGAAGCGCAAAATTTGATGATATATCGTATTTGAGTGCTACCTGACGGAGTTGCTGCATGAGGATCGCTGTTATTTGCTGAGCTATCAGTATAATAACTATAACGTGCTAAGTATTTTTAATAGATAAACAGTTTTGTAAATATTGCTAGTGATAACGACCACTGTGTTCTCCCCCCGTGAACTATCAAGGCTATCATACAGAAAAATAATTGTTTTTTTCCTGTAAGACGTTTTAGTCTTGCTCCTCTGGCTATATCATACCGTGGGAGCAAAAAAGATGCAAGCTCTACCGACAATTGTACCCTACCTTATCTATAATTGCAGTTGGACAATCACACTTGATTTTGTACTTCTCCCTTTGTGAATCGTTTGAGAAAAGAACGAGTATTAAGCGTATCACAAAAATGAACTCGATCGCCTAAAAGACAAAAGATCATGGGTAAATCAAATGGTCATCGGTTTGTAGCTCAGATTTCACTTACGACTAAAGGCGATCGGTAGGTATCGGGGTAGTAAGAGCACAGTGAACAGTGAAAGCCACGATAGGTAGAACCATAGGCACAGCTGAGTTCCGAAGAAGTAGCAAATAAGGGAAACAATGACAAACACAGAACTCGATCAGGTTCGAGTTAAACAAAGTTACCAAATTGCTTCGAGCTAAATCATGAGACTGGATAATTGTAAATGAAATTGTCTAATGAAATATCACAACCTACTTTCAACAACAAAAAATATTGGTCACTAAAAACAGCCATTTGCTGGCGGTAACCTGTCGGCGTATGGATTGAGGCAGGAAAAAAAGATCCTGGGGGGAGGGCAAGAATTTTGCATGCTAACTAAACGGTTATGGAGATGAAGAGTTGACTTACACGGCTTGGCTATTCCTCGCTTGAGTATCACACCTATCTTACCGAGGACCTTTTGTGACTACCTGATTCAAGTACCACAACACAGGTTATTGGTGGACCTGAACCGAATAACGTTTTAAACCTGCTGCTAGTTAGTTTAGCAATGATGAAAAGCGAGGCGCTATCTTGTGGGCCTCTATTTTGCATTACACCTTGGTAGTACGCAGCTTTCAATCTGTTCAATTCAACGCCTAACCTAGCGGGGCTTTATTTGGTTTGCCATTACAAGTTCCGGGGATTAGGTTGGCGGTTTCCATTACTAAACAGTAAGTCTTCGCGTCTATGGGGTCCAAATGTCTTCTGTTCATCACACAATTGTGCATAAGAAAGTTGAAAACACCAAATGTGTCAGACACAGTGTCAGATACAACTTGAGTATTTTTGACCGATGTGTAGGCTTAGAAGCGGTATTACAGTAGATGATAAACGACAGAGGGTTCTGGGGTCATCCTGTTGGATTAGGAGAAGTACAGTGAGAAAATTTGTCCTATAACAACAAAAAACTTCCAGGTAAGCTGAAAACCGATAACCCCGTGACAATAGATAAAAGGATTAGAAAAGCTACACGAATACAGCTTGCCTTACCAAAACAAAATGTGAGTTTGAATGAGTTACCCGAGTCTCCAGCTATCAAATTATGACCAATATCCGATTCAAAATTGAAATTCAATCACATGGTCAAGTGTTATTCGACAGCCGAATATACCCATACCCGGAGAATGGTTAGATAGAAAACACTCATCCAAGCATGTTACATAAAAGATCAGGTCGCCATGGACAGCACGGATAGTGTATCCAAGTAGATTCGTGTGCACAGACCAATAAGCAGATCAATGCTGCTTCAAATTCGATTCAGATTCTGGTTTTCGAGTATTCCCTTAGGAAATTATTGCTCATCAGCATACAGAAAGAAAAGATTATAACCGGGAGTATTGGAAAACAATTAGGCATACGAAAATGCTACATCTAATGTAACATTGATGGTGACTGATCACATGGTCTTCTATCATCGTCATCACCGCACAGTGAGATACAGGGAAGCAAACTTCGCTGACCGCTGCCAAGCTCTCAATGTACACAAAATAAGTGATAGAGTACAAGATGGAGAGGGATTAGGCCTAACTGCAGGAAGGTGAACACAGTGAACCTCTGTGGTCGGCAATGAGAGTGCACAATCTAACTTTGCATACATACGTTTTCAAGCATTTTGACTTGATAAGAAATGAAAACCTGAAAGCCACTGCTGTCCATTAGTTGTTATATCATTCAGTGTCTTCAACCAGCCAGTTGCTGAGTCTTCGGGACCCGAAACAGGAAGACAGGTGACACCTATTCTACTTAATCGCTGTGTGCATTTCTTCATGCCTCGTTTCCACGTCGTCTGTTGACCTCCCCGTGACTTTTTCCAACCTGGAGTCGTGACTGCGAATAAGGCGCGGTGTGGTAAGACGATGGTTGGGCATGCGCAATACGTGTCCAGACCAACGAAGCCTACTGATCTTAGCTCTATATGATAACGAATTTCGCATCGAAGCATTACCGAATACCCGACGGCTTATCTCAGTGTTGCATAAACCCTCGTTTCATCCAACCCGCACCAAACTACGTAAATACTGGCAATCAAAGACTTCTAGACAACAAATATATTACACGGGAAAATTTCGAGTCTCGCAGCTCTGAAGTAGAACACACCTTAGTGTGCTGCACAGGAGACGGGGAAATCCTCATATTCACCAGGACCTGTTGTTCAGTGATGTAAATCGGCAACTTAAACCCCGGGACTTGGAGCGGTGAACCACACAAGACCCTAGGTTAGGCGTGGTATGGAACCGAACGACAGCAAAGCTGCCGAACACCAGTATAAAAGACCTTTCAGTTTTGACGAAACATCACATCTGCACCAAAGGTGTTTCAGTCCTTCGTGAGCTGTTTGTGCCTTGGAAATGCCTGCGGTTACTACCTTGACTATGCTGTCGTCATTTGCCACACAGCTACCTAAGTATGAGAAAAAATCCACTATAACTAATTCTTTACCATCAAGCATCAGAGACGGGGTAGACGACACCCAATCTTGTAGCATCACTTTGCACTTTGAAGGTGCAAAGTGCATACCAAATGGAGTTACGGAACTTGAAAGTTAGTCAAGAGCGTGTCGCACCTCCTCCGTTCATTCGAAAAGACAAACGATGTCATCAGCGTACTCTAAATCACACAGCTTTTCTCCAGCTGCCCATTCAATACAAACATTTTGGAGGCCACTAAGTGCGTTCTCCAGTACTTCACCCACGACGAAGTTGAACACGAATGGCGAAATATGGCACTCTTGACGAATACCGCTCCTGATTTTGAACGCTTTGTTTAGCCCACCGTAGATCCTTACGCTACCCGAAGTATGCAGATACAGTGATCCAATAGGTTTATATACTTCTGCGGCATTTCTTTGAGAAGCGGCGAACCCATTAGGGATTCACAGTCAGCTGAATCAAGGGCTCCTTTTAGGCCAAGGAACACTGTGATTGTTGGCCGATGATGTGTGTGATGCAATTTACGGACTGTACGCAAAGCGAAGATTTGATCGATGCAACCGCGACCTGGTTGGAATCCTGCTTGCTGTTCTCGAATATTCATCTACCTTGAGGTTGTCTGGCAGTGAAGTATCACAGAACTCAACACGTTCAGGATGACTGCAACTAAACTTATCCCGCAGTGGTTTGCGCAGTCGTTGGGTCATCCCTTCCTGAAAATCGGAACGATCAATGATTCACCCAAGGATAAATGGATACGCGCTTCTGAGCAGATACTACAAAGTAAGCCAGTAGTCCAGTCGACGAGAGTCGCTCCCTAGCTTGAAAAAATGAAAAGCCCATCAAGTCTCATTGACTTCCCTTTCTTTAACAATTGAATGCAGCTTCATACTTCTAATTCTGTTGCAGGCTCACGTGTTACCACCCATGGAGTTTCCACTGCAATTGCCGGGATAACCGTAATAGCACTAGGTCAATTGAGCTGCTCACTACAATACTCTGCCCAGCGATCACGTCATTGTTCTTTATTGGGAATACTTTGCCCACTTTTATCGTAAATGGTTTCATTAGCCGGTATGTCATAACCTCCGGTGCATCGTGAAACAGTCTGACTATTCTCTAATGCAGAAGCTACCTCCATATCACTAGTTATTTTTGCCCACCAGTTTTCGCAGTCCTGTTCAAGGTTTTTCCTGAGCTGCAGCTGCAGAACCCGCCGGTTTCTATGTCGGACCTAGCAGACTGGGATCTTTTGCTTTTGTCCCATCAGGATTACTGACTCCTCCGAGATCCAGTATCTTCGACGGAATTCTGGCTCAGACCCACAAGCAAATTTTGCTGTCAAATACACTGCTCGTCTGATTTCGTCTCAGCGTTGCTTTATTCTACCACCTCGCAGTGTTCCTAGCTCCTGTTCATGGTTTTTTTATAACGCGCAAACAGACCCATCGCACAGACGGTGATGAGCTGAAAAGGCGATTTTTGACGATGATTGATGAGTCGAAGCGTGAAGCGCATCAGGACTAGTGAGTGATCAGACTCAACACACATGGTCCAATATGATCNTATGATCTGCAACTGTATATATACTGAACCATGCCAACGGTAGCTTACAGCTATCTGGTCAATTCGGGTCAACTTTCCCGTCAAAATAGAATACGGTGTTGCCGTGCGACGACAGCTGTGTTGAAGGTTGGTGCTAGATAAGGACAAGCGATTATATGCGCGGAACTGAATCAGTTCTACACCGTTCGTTGGGCGCGCAGAGCGAAGCACTACCCCCCCCCCCCC